CCAGCTGTGCTCCTCCTGGACTAACAGCTGGAGATTAGATGGAAATAAGGACTTCTCAGGGACACCAGCCAGAGTAGTTAGATGAGGACAAACTGAAACCAGATTCTGATGCCTACTTCCCACCCCTTCACCATGCTTTGCACCATGTAGGACCCTGCAACAGCTCAACCCACGGGTAGGGAGGGAGACCCTGAACTGAAATTGAGCCTTTGGCACATGGAGAAGAGAAAAATAAAGAAAGGTATATGTCTTGCACTCCCTGAGTTTTGTGGTCTAAGTATTCTTCAGACTTCATCTCCTATACCTCCCTATCTCCCTTCCCATGCAGCCTTCCTGGATAAACTATGGTTTTTACTCACTTGAGTGATTTTTCTAAGCTTCGAGGGATATGCTGTTGCGGGATGTTGGGTACTTAGCTGGTTTTCAAGCGGGCTTCCTCAGGGCAGTCCAGAGGCAAAGATCCTCACACCAAGGCTGTAGGACAGTGTGACAGTGTGACCTGCTTCAAGGACTCCCAAGAGTTGGACAGCGCCCCACCAACAGTGCCAGGGACAGACCCTCTTCCGGTGTTCCGACTGCCTCAAGCCACCCATGATTTTGGAGCAACCCAGAGGCAGAGAGGGCCCAATAAAAACTGACATTGAATTTCCCACCCACCTGACCAGATGGGAGCTCAGAACAGATGCAAATCAGATTTGGAGAAACATAAGAAATGTAATTATTTCCTGAACCCAAGTGTTGTGGTGTTTGCAGACTCATATCTGACAGTTCTGCCTATCTCATCAACAGGGGTTTTGTTTTGATTTTGAGGGGAGAACAGGAAAAAAGAAAAGCCATGAAATTCTCGATTTCATCCTAATAGAGATGTCTCGCTTATAAGCGGCAGTGATAGGAATGGACAAAATCCTCTCAGGGTCAGCTTCCTTATGAGGAAATCACACTATGACGTTCTGGAGATCTGAGTCTCCTCAAAGCCTGGGGGACATCCCCAAGGCTCACTGGGCCAAAGGGTGGAAAGTGTGTGGGCTTTGAAGTCAGGCAGCTCTAGGCTCTAACCCCGTGCCTAGCCTTGATTAACTGTGTGACTTTGGGCATGTTTCTTCAGTTCTCTGAGCCTCAGTTTCCTCACTGAGTATATGGGGATAATAATATTGATCTCATAGGATGCTAGTTAGATTAGAAGAAATAATGTCTACACAGCACTTAGCTTCATGTCCAATACGTAATGGGAACTCAATAGATGGCCACTGTTGATGTTGTTATAATTATTACTGTTAGTTGCCCCTGGAAAGCCTCTAGTGGGGAGGCTGTTTTAACTCTACTACCTTTCTCTGAATCCCCTCCTCTGACACCAACAGGAAGGCTGAAGGATGTTTTCATTCCACTTGACACAGACTCATTAGGGCTGCTGGTAAAACTGGATCAGTCTTTAGGTGTCAAGTCCAATCTCATCACAGACTCCGGGGTGAAATATGATCAAGAGTCCCCCAAACTGCAGTGCGGAAGTCCCAGGCTGCTGTGATATAAATGGCATCAGCCTGGCCTAGCTCATCGAAAACCACCAGCTTCCAATTATCCTCCGGCGGAGCTCCAAGTGCTTCCTTTTGGGAAGCTGGAAAGTAATCATAGTTATCATTCTCAATCACCACCTTTTCTATTGATTTCCACATTATCATAGCACAAGGGGGCTCGGCAAAGAACTCGGGTTAAGAATCATTATTTCTACTGTGTATTGTTAGCTATTTTTTCCTTTTATGAAAATAGGGACCATATGTGTTGGCAAAAAAGAGGAAGCCTTCATAACAAGAGAACTGCCTTTGATAGTGTTCTGGTTTGATGGCCCATCTCTCTGCTGTGTTATTTCTCAGCTCTTTCCCAGTTTTCGGTGGCCTTGTTTTTCAAGCCTAGAATGCTGATGTTGTTGCCCTTCTTGGCACCACTGCCAACCCCAAATTATAACGAACAGAATGATCTAGGTTTTCATAGGTCCCACAATGAAATTTTTAGATAGTTTTGTTAAATTGAAGCACCATGGACATGGATTCCATCAGTGGTTGGAAGACTCCGCCTGGTTGTTTAAATTTTTCTCTCTGAAATCGGATCTCTCTATGGATCCCCAGAGTCTGGCCTCCAGCCAGAGGGGTCCAGCTGTTGAGAATCATCTTTCAACAGAAGTGAAGCTTCTCTGGGACCCTCAGTTGGGGCACCCGGAGCATGCTCTTAAAGGAATTCAACAGAGCATGAGGAGGAAAAGATGTAGTCCCAGAACTGTCAGGAGAAGGAATATGACTAGTGGAATTCAGTGAAAAGGGCAGAATATTTTTACAATGATGACTACCATTGACTGAGCAATTTGAGGTGCTGAGCTTCATCGGAAGCCCTCTGATTAATATCAGCAAACAAGTAGCGGGTGCTCCCCAGGTGCAGGACTGTGCTAAACATTTTCCATGAATGCCCACTTCATCCTCACTGAAGACCTCTTATCACCACCGTTTCATGGCCGAGGAATCCGAGGCTCAGAGTCGCAGCCACTGGCTACAGTCATTCAGCCGCTGTGTGCCCTTCTACTCTGGGCTGAGGGCAAGTCCAGGGATGAGGTCAATGTATGGAGGTCAAGAAGGATGAGCCAACGAAACTGAAGTCAGTATGAATCAATACAGAACAGATACAGGTGACTCTTCCCAGGGGACAGACACTTAAGAGCTGCGTATAAATGTGATAAGATCTAGGCATTTTCTAAATCTCAGTAAGAAAAACCCCTTCTTCCCCCATAAGGGTGGGTACCGATTTAATGGACAATTAGAAAACTATAATTGTGCCAACTGTAACATGATGGCCAAAGGAAAGTCTTTTAAAGGTGATGGATTTGTAAGGCTTGGTGAGAATTTTTCTCTTTCTGAGAAAAGGATGTTTGGGACTCCAGCTGACGGGAGCATGGCTGGTGGTGGCCCCACAGTTGCTGACACCCTTTTGGAAGGTGGTGCTTCTTGAACATGTCCAGCAAACTTCCCTGATGGTGGAGACAGACTCAAATTCCTGAGATCTGGGCATTGCCCCAAAGTCTTCTATTTTAGCTTAAAGACTATTTTAAGAATTTTGCATTGTATTCTACCCATACCTCAGAAAATGGGATGTAAAAAAGATGGCTGGTGTTTACCCTTTGTCCTTCGTTGTCTGTACTCTCCAGGTTTGCCTATCACAGATGGAGAAGAAGATAGCTCCAATAATAACTAGCTCTCCTTCTGACAATGTTTTACTTTCCTCAGCTTGGCTTTTACTTAATGAAAGATCACACTGACCAGCAAACGTAAGTATTCTGGCCCATGTGGTCAGCCAACTTCTCACTGTGGGTTGCTAAGTTCTAATGCTTAATAAAACAGTTGTTGGGAGCCTAATCAGTGTGAGTCAAATTCCCAGGAGCTGATCCCCGTGGAGTGAACAGACAAGACAGAAATTCTGCACCTGCCAACCTAAGGACAAATGCTTGCAGACGATGGTCCCCCACACACACGGCCACCCCATCCTCGAGGTTCTGTTTGAAATAAACTTCAGTCTCTCCTGCTAAAGCTTAGCCAATGGGAAAGGTAAGGCTAGACGCTGACAATCAAAGAGAGGGAACTGATAGAGGGGATGAGGAGCAGGGTCAAGGGGAGACATCTCAGTGACTTGGAGGAGAGGCGGGAATCTGGAGCAAAGGAGAACAATATGTGGTTGTACAGCAAAGCAGCAATTTATTAAGTGCCTGTGTAGTATGGACCGTGGAGGGCAGGGGCATGAAATTATCATGAGGGTCCACAAGCCCATAGGTGTCCCAATTAGTCTCCTGCAGATGAAAGAAATAATATGGATGAAGAGGTATTCTAACATTGCACAAGGGAGAACAGCATGCTGGTTAAGAACACGAGCCCTGGTGCCGACCACTGGCTCTGGGTCCCAGCGGTGCCCCTTCCTGGCTGTGGGACCTGAACGTGTGTGTAACCTCAGTTCCTTCATCTGTAAAATAGGGATAAAACTAGTACCCGCCTCAGTGGTCCTTACTTGTAGTAAGGACTAAATAAATGAGCTAGCATGATCAAGAGCATACACATATACATGATCAATACCTAATAAAAGTAAAACAACAACTGTTGGCTTTTGTTATGTTATTATACATCACAACGACAATTTATAAAGCTCTATTAATGAGTAACCCTCGGGGATAGGGTGTAGACTATTACGAGGGTAAAATCTATACACGCACAATGCATCATTTATTATGGTCCATGGTTTATCCATCTTTTTAAAAAGGTATCTGTAGATGTTCTGGTAATGAGTGAAATGCACACTAATTAAAATTCTTGTTTAAATCATGGAAGCTTGCAGTCACTGGGTGCTTTCTCCGATCCTGAAGCGCACTTACCAGCAAATGAAATAGGCACGACTAACATTGTTGTAGCATTTACTGTGTGCCTGGCATTCTTCTAAGTGCCTCAGATAGATCGACTCGTTTAATCTTTACAACAACCCTAGGAAGTGGGTTATTTTTCTTGTTGATTTCACCTGTAGAGAATTTAAGTGATGTCTCCAAGGCTAGTGAGTCAGGGAACAGGGACTCAGAGTCAAACCACCCGCCTCCAGAGCCTCTGCTCCGAACCACCAGGCCCATGGCCCCCTAACACGCAGCTCTGCAATGTGTTCTGACATTTAAAATGGGTCCTCGCACTTGGAAGTGCAGGAAACCACCAGAGCATGAATAATGAGGTCAAGCCTTTACAGGAGGGGTAGTCGAAAGGAAATTCATTCTACAGTGTATTACGGTTTGATGTAAGGGCTTCCTGTGTGTTTGTGCCCCTGGGTTTAGGCTTGGATCATGGGTGGAGGATGGGATGGGAGCCCAGAAAATTTTGTCTCCAAATCCCCAGGTGGTTTATCCCTAGAAGTCCCTGCCCTGAGACCCCCTTTGGGAACACGCTGGGCAGAGCTGACCTTCTGGTGGCAGGTGGGTGGGACGTCTGACTTACCGGCCGAGGCAGACTGTACTGGTACATTTCTGGGCGATAGGTGGGCACCCACTGCACTCCTGCCCTGGGCCGCGTCATGGTCCCCGGAGCACTGGTCACCACCTCCGAGTAGGGCAGGTGCTGTGCTGAGCCATAGGCCTCCTGGTGCCGGCCCTGGCCTGCGTGGCCCGCGGACGCCAGGCTGAAGGCCTCCTCCAGCAGCATGTGCATCTGCTGCCGGACCTCGTCGATGGATGGCTGGGAGCTCAGTGTGGACGTCTCCGAGTGGCCCTTCACCTGCCTTGACCTGCCGTAGCCCCGGGGCTCATTCACTCTGTCAATGTTGGTTTCTTCTATGATCTCAGGCTCCGTCTGGGGGATCAAACACATGCCCATTGATTTGTTAATGACCTTTCCTTCCCCTTAACGTTGTCTGCACTTTAAAATGTTCAGCTTGGGGGCGCCTGGGTGGCTCAGTCGTTAAGCGGCCGCCTTCAGCTCAGGTCATGATCCCAAGGTCCTGGGATCGAGCCCCGCATCGGGCTCCCTGCTCCCTGGGAAGCCAGCTTCTCCCTCTCCCATTCCCCCGCTTGCGTTCCCTCTCTCGCTGTGTCTCTGTCAAATAAATAAATAAAATCTTTAAAAAAAAAATGTTCAGCTTGGACTCCTGCTATTAGGTGTAGTGTTCATTTATGTTAGCACCTCGCTGCCCTACCTAGGAATCCACCCCACAGGGGTGGTCAGCTAGCACTGTGTTTGGAAGGCCACTTGCCAGCTCTCCATGTGGCTTCACTTTTCCGGAGCTCCAGCAATGCAGCAGGCTTTGCTAACTGGCGTAAGGATGATGAGAAATGGCTTTTCATTGACGGCATTAATGATATTCTCTAAAACCACTTAGAGACATTCTCCACCCTCATGCCTTTTAGGTAAAAGAATCTAGAGCGTCTGGTAGTCTACACCCCAATGGTTGATGCTCTGGACTCTAGACTAACTCTCTAAATGGTCCTGTGTCCAGCCATTTAGGGAATCACTGGCTGCCCAATGCCAGTTTTATTGGAGAGAGCAACAAAATCCTGCCTCTAGATCACACTGATCTCAAAGTGGGCTCCGCACTGAATCAGAAGCTCTGGAGCAGGGCCCAGCAACCTGTGCTTTAGCCAGAGCTCCAGGAAACTCTCCTGCCTGCTCAGGGTTGAGACCAACAGATCTAGAATGTTCTCCCGCCTTCCTCCAGTGAACCTTTCACTTAGGGGGCAGCTGCAGTACCTGAGTTGTCAGAGGCTGGGGCATCATCACCTTCCAGAGCAGGGTGCACGGACCGTCTCATGCTCGCCTGCTAATGAATGCTTATTTAAGAAGTCGGCCTGTGTCTGGGTCTATGATAGCCTGACAGTAAGGCTGTGGGGGAGTAGTTAGTCCACGTTCACTCAAGCATGTCCGTGGCTAGAAGAACACGAGCGTTCCGTGAGAATAAACCAGCATAGATCAGTTTGCCATCCTGCTCTCCATCTGTGACGTAAGTGACATACTGCCACTTTAGCAAAATTAGACAATATGGATAAGTAAGAGGGAAAAAAATCTAAAAATCCATTAAACTTTGGTGTACTTATTCCACTCCCAAGCCTACCGGGGTGTGTGTGTAAACTCCTTCTCCATACACACACACCCATTTAAAAAGATTTAGGTATTTATATCCTGGTTCTGGGTGGTTATTATTATTTTACAGAGAATGAATATTCTCCCACCTGGGTGGCACAATTTAACAGCTGAGTAAATCTTGGGGCAATGTCTTAGTTTAGGTTCTCCCATAAAGCAGGACCTGAGACATACTTTATATACAGATCATTTATTTTGGAAAACAATTCCACGGAATGGGAGTCAGGGCCTAGAATGAGTAAATTGGGGGAAGAAAAAAAAAGCCAATCAAGGGCAGGCACTAAATTAGTGACTGCTGTGGGCAATTGAGGCTTAATTCCCCTTGGAACCCACCTCCCCAATCCCACGCCAAGGAACAAGCAGAACATGGTTGAGGACTGTATAACAAAATCTTGTCCACCAGCTCTCATCCCCCACTAGTCAAGAGTTGCTCCAGAAAGTGTCCTTGAACTCTGAGATCTGTGCAGGTGCCAGATGGGTACAACGGGCTCCCATGGAACAGAGACAGAGAAGCCTCAGGGCAGAAGTAAAAGCTTAAGCGACCGCTACGGGGAGGTCAAGTTCCTGCTGCAGAGGACAGATGCTACAGCAAGGCCAGATCTAAAAGTTGTGTTGAGGGGCGCCTGGGTGGCTCAGTCGTTAAGCATCTGCCTTCGGCTCAGGTCATGATCCCAGGGTCCTAGGATCGAGCCCCGCATCGGGCTCCCTGCTCCGCGGGAAGCCTGCTTCTCCCTCTCCCTCTGCCACTGCTTGTGTTCCCTCTCTCAATGTCTCTCTCTCTCTCTGTCAAATAAATAAAAAATATTAAAAAAATAAATAAAAGCTGTGTTGACTGAGCTTCCCCCTCCTCACACTTGTATTTGCTTCAGGAAAGTTACTTCACTTTCTATCACTTGAGTTCCTCACCTGTAAAGTGAGGATAGTAGCATCTGCCTTCAGGGGTCTTATGAGGATTAAATATGATGATCCGTACAGAGTTTAGAACAGTAGCATACGGCAAAACACAGTGGTAACCGTCGTCACCATAATTATTGTTATTATTACTTTCATATATTCAACTGCACCTGTTTCTCATGTA